GTGAGGAATGCTTGCATTCACTTAAAAGAAGCAATATCCTAGATTGCTGTCAGATTGAACCTTTAAAGTGTAATTTTAAAATGGAAATGTTATTATAGTATCCCTTTACTGCAAAGGGTTTTTGAGAAAGACTTGGTTTGGATTTTTTCACTTTTTCATATTGACACTGACGCTTTAATCAATTTAAACATACTAACATTAAACCACTAAAAGGCATGTAGGTTTCAATAAAATTAATTTTTTATATATTTAGCTCATATAACCAAATGAGCTGCTTTGACTTTTTTTTAAGCACAAAAGTTAATAAAGTTAAATGAAAAGTCCCAGAGCTTAGTTTTAAGACTAAATGGTATTTTAGATGAAACAGTTAGAGAAAACAGAGTTTGTAACTCTGAGGTAAAGATAATGGTTTATATCTGTCTTTACATTATGAGGACTCTTCTTGGAGCTACATAATTGATACACACACTTCCACTTCTCACTGGCGTGAGCTGCTATGAGCCGCCTGTGAATCAGACCAGGGACACTGTTATGGAAAGAACACTTGATGAAGATTGGGAATTGGAGCATCATGCCCAGCTGTACCACTAGCATGCTGGGAGACTGTGGACAAGCTCCTTCTGTACTTCTGCTTTCTGATTTGAAAATCAAAGACAATAATGTTCACTTCTAATGCAAGACCTGCTAACCTCTAAATAAAACATATTGGAAGCATGCCTATCATTTTACCAGTTCAGACGGTTTCTTGAAAAAACTTGTGTTACATGAGAGAAAATTAAGAACAGAAAGTAGTACCAGACAGAAATTACGGTAAATAAGTTTACTTAAAGGTCTTGCAATGAAGAAAGGAAAGTACTCACATAACCACAGAATAGATAAAATAGCAATTAAAGCAGTAAAGTAAAATGTGCACACCTAAGTGTTCAATAGACCATAAGCAATGTAAAAGACACATGGCAGAAATAAAGACAGTTATTAAGATATTAACAAAGCATCACATAGGGCCAGGAAGGTATACTGCCAGAAAATCTGTGCGTTTATATACATACATGCACGCGCATATGTGAGCATGCATACTCACAGTCACGCAGAAAGGGAAATATCTAACAGCCTTAGGTTGGAAAGAAACTTCAGGAGTCAGATTCTGTTGGTGGTACTTCACTGCTTCACCCACCCAATACCATACAATTCACAAATGAATTACGGCTGTGGAGGGGAAAAAATAAGGCTGATTCTAGCTTGCACATATAAAGGGTACTGCTTGTTCTAACATTCACTGCAGTATGTAATTATAAATACATATCATTAGGTGGCTTGGTTAGCACAAAATGACCCCAATGCTGCTTTCTGCAAGACTTGGCTATACAACCAAAATATGCAATGTAAACCAGAAATCAATGACCCTGAGGACTCGGGAACTATTCTAATAGTTGAGACATAAAGAAAAAACAGTTATGAATTTGGTTAATTATTCTAGAAGACAGAATTACTGTTGTTTATGTTGAACAAGGAGTTCAAGAACTAACAAGGTGTTTTTTCTCCCAGACAGTCTCAGCTGACTGTCAACTCCAATTGCATCTTTCCTTGTGGTAAAGGCACTTCTAAGGCCTCTTCTCAAACTGAATTCTCCAACAACCAGTAAAATCTAAATTACCTTTGTAGCCTTCTCTCCACCGGGGCACTAAGTGTCTATCTCACCTTCACTCCCACTCAGGTGACCTCTGAGAAAGCTGTTTGATGTGATTATCTTTCAGTACTCTATTCCTCTGTTCAAAAGTTATTTGTTCAAAAGCTCCTTGGGTGAGCAGGAAGGAAGAGAAGAATGGAGGTGCAGAGACATGGAAAGTAAATTACACAAACTTAATTCCTTTGGAACAAAATATTGCCCCCATATGTTCACGTGAGCTCAAAAACCTCCTTCACATAGAACTTCCATAGAGGTGACTGACAGATCAGAGGAGAAATTTTATCCATTCAGTACAGCAGATAAATGATAACTTACTGTCTAACCAAACTATGTCACAGGATTGTGGATCCATTGTATCCATTGAATGTAATTAATTTCCTAGATTAACATATTGCTGTAAGCACCAGAAACACAGCAGCAGAAAGAGCAGCAAATGCACGATGACTGTAGTATCAATTTATTTTAAGATACTAAAGAGATACTTCCCTTGTTTAGTAACTTCAACTATAAATCATGGGGAAACAGATTTCTAGTGTCTCTTTGACATATTCCTCTTTGTCAAGTTCTCTGGATAAGCTGGACAGAGTGGATAAAAATCAAAGTTGGAGTCATACATTTTTTCCTGGAACCAGGAAGACATTCCACCTAGTTAACACTCTCAGTTAAAAGGAAAGCTTTTATATTTTTTCCAGAAAGAACCCCCCCACACACATTGTGACATGCAAGTTTGTACTTCAGGCCAAAAATGCAAATGCAGATGAAGAACCCCTTCTCTATCCAACTGTAGTTTTCAGATCCTGGCCCTTCCTTTATTCTCAGCCGTAAGTACTTCCAAGTGACCACAGAATTCCACGGCAGCTTTCTTCTCTGAAGAAATTTGCATTCTCCTCAAAGATTTTAGACCAATGGCTTGAACAGTGTGTTTTCTTACTTGACAATTTTTATGCAAGGATGTCACCCATAGAGATGCCTAAGCTAAGTGCAAATTTAGGTATTCAAAGAGGCTAGAGTTTCAGAGGAGCCAAGTGGTTGCATCCGTAAATGGAAGCCAGTAAATATTGCAAATGCCCAGAATCTCTGTGTTATTGGGGGAGCAGGCATCAAGCTAAGCACTGCATTATCAGGACACCCAGAAGAATCACCAAGCCTCCTACTAATGAATTATACTAACCCTTCTGAACAAAGGGCAAAGTGGAACCCAAACTAATAATGTATAAAATTCTAATACAATTTTGGGTTCTATTTGCTTAAGTTTCACTTATTATTTGCCTAAGTTAAATTGACGACTTCTTGAAACTCCTGCCAGGAAATGCAGAAGACCAAAAATAGAAATGTATGCTTTAGTTAGTGTGCATAAATCAGCTGATAGCATCTTATTGTGTTTTACGGAACAGACACTGCAAGCAAGAAGCAGCTAAGATTTAATGAACATGGTATTTAGTTTTAGAAAACATATTTGTGTTACTTCTTGCACCTCTGAAAAACTCAGATTGTATTTAAAGCACATCTTACATGTAACAGCATGAAAATATAACTGATCTGAAATCTTAGGTTTAGTGCACTGGCATGAACTTGACGCAATTACTGCAATTACGCTCTGGCTTGTACTTTACAAAATATCATCAAGGATTACAATGCAGTATCCTTTAGTCAACTTAACAGGGCTTTACCTAGGAGAGTGATCAAAGAATTCAAAGTTTTACAAATAGGCTACTTATTGTTGAAACACATCTGTAGCTGTCATGTTCCCATTGCTCTTATTTTAACCACATATTGATTATTCATTATAAAACCTCTTGTGATAGCTTAAAAAAAAATAATCCCTCTATAGCAATAGCTGGGATTTGATAATGAACCAAATCCTGGAAACACTCAAGTTCTCCTTCATTCTAAGGGTAATTCTGTTAAGAGGGAAGCACCTTACTTCTCAAAGTCAAAACAAATCCTAGGTGTTGGTGGCTCATCTGTTCTGACAGCACTCATTATTATTTGTGTCCTAGATGGCAAGACACTCCTCTGTGCTCTTGTCATGATAAATTATAGGGGGGGGAACTAAAGTATGGTATAAAGAGTTTCCTGGATCATAGCCAGACAGATAAGAGAAGTCTATGGAGAAACTCTGCAATCTCTGTCAATACTGATGGGAAAAAAAACCCTGATGAACAGCAGCATGTATTGAGGGCGGCAAGAGGAGACGCAATTGCAGATGGGCATTGTGCGACAGCATTATGAAATGTCCCATGGACATATATTTCCTTTAGAACACTAAGACATTTCAAAATAACTTAAGCAAAACCTGGTTAACTATTAATCAATCTGCAGTGAGAAGAGAAGAAAGAAGGAGCGGTATTTGCATTTCCATCTCTTGCTGCTTTGTTGGAGAGCAAGTGATCTCAGAAAGACAGGCAACTTTCCTATCCTGCTACGATGACTATGGCAAAAGAGGAGGTTTACACATGTCCTTCCATCTTGTGCTGCTGTTTTCATTTTCTTATATGAGTCTTGCCCTCACCGTTGGTAAGAGGATGCAGCAGCTGTTTTCTCTCAATTCCTTTCACCAGTAAGTACAGAGCAGAAGAGAGAGCTTAGTCCTTAAGAGGGACTGCTCCATGGGGAGGAAAGGGCAGCAATCCCAAGAGCACATCTGCCATCGACTCATCATGTTGGAAATTCCCATGGAATTTTAACTTCACATCTCAGAGAGACAAAACAAGCAGGCCTCTGAAACCAAACCGCGGAAGGGGAGGGGGAACGTTGCCTCCTTTGCCTTTCCAATGAAATGAGCAGCTGACAACTCCATATGGCTCCTTTTAAGTTTAGTGCACTGCTTGCTCTGCAAAGGTTCCCTTTGATTCCAGAGGAACCTTTTGCAGAAGGAGATATTGCTCACCATATGTAATGTTGGCAGGATAAGATTCCCCCTCCCATCTCACCTTTGGGAGGGGAGAGGAAGGAGATGAACATCAAGGCTCAGTGTGCCAAGACTTGAAAATATATTTACATGCTGAATTGGGATTCTTGCTTTGAACACCAGCCACAACAGCTCTTCTGCACTTTGGGTAGTTCATTAACAGAAATCAATACAAGCTGCCTTTTAAGAAAGCCAATGCTTGTTCGTTGACACACTGTGTAATTCTTTTTAGTAGAAGCATCAATGCTTACAAGGTGTGCAGTAAATTATGGCAAAACCACAGAATGGCAAGGCTGCAGAAAATATTGTTTCATTTCAGTGCAAACTTAAAACATAAACTTACATACATTGAGAGGAAGAGTAATAACTAAGATCCAGAGACAAAAGATGTGTTGCATTTACCTGGAGGCCCTTCTTTTCTATCTTTTTCTGGAGTATCTGAAGGCACTTGGTGAAATCCGTGAGGTCCTGATCCATGGTCTCAATTAACTCACATCCCTAGTGAAGAAGCAGAAAAATGGAGAGGAAAAAAAAAAAGTCAGTCATGTTTCAATTGTAAGAACTAATGCTGTCTTTGGTGAAATTAACTGCAGTCAACAACTCAAAGTCTCTCCATGGAGATGCAAAATTAAGTAAAAGACTATTACCCTTACAGAGCCCAAAGACCATAGGTCCCAGCTGTTTGCTAGGCACAGAAGTAGATATTCAAAACCCATTGAGTACATTCGTGAGTTATGATAAGCATGTTCTGCTATGCTTTGCTGGACGGACAAGTGCTGGTGTAGTGAGCCCTGGGTTATCAGTGATTTCCATGATCAGGTACCAGGAAAATGACTGTCCTCTCTGGTGCTACCACTACTACATTTCTGTTACATATATTCAAATCTGTATAAATGTAAGCATACAAAAGTGTTCAAGCTTCCTGGAACCACTGCAGTTGTACTAGTTAATTTGCCATGATACAACAACAATTTCCTTGCAGTGGGGTAATACGGATGAGCGCGTGTTAAAGTGGAGAAGAGCAAGAGTACATATTTCTTAATTGAGCCTTAACACAAGTCCTAAGCCTCTGATAAAAAGCTGAATAAGGAAAAGTAGAGTATATCTACCACATAAAGTCACTATTCAAAGAGGTTTCAAGGATACAAAATATCCGTACAGCATCGTAAATTAAAATAAGAACCATACACACTGGATTTAGAGGTTCCCTCTCCTACCACTTCAAGGTCCCCTTAAAAGCCTCCTAGCTTTGTATTTATGGGACAGATTTTACGTTTCTGCTCTACACAATAACAACTGACAAGAGAAAAGCATTCGGACTACAGAATCTTTGTATGTGTGCCTGTGTGTATAAAGTATATTATTTTGTTACATTAGAAAAAAAAACCCAAAATGTTAAAGTTGCCTCTACCATGGTGGTAAAAATAAAGGTACAGAAGTGAAAATTTTCCAGATCAGTGCATGGATGCAGTGTAGTGGATTGTATGCAACGAAATAATAAGCTTCCAATAGGAAGACATACACTATCACTGAAATGCTTCCCTGCACAGCCAGAATGCATATACAAATCAAACAAAACCATCATGCAGTAAGGGATTTGGATGAAGTGGAAGAGATAAGGGAGGAGATAACGCCATGCTTTTTATTATACCACTTCTTCTACCTCCTCAAAAACTTCTGAAAAGAAACCTGGTCAAAAGTAGTAGCCCTTCTGACACCCAATATTGCTCTAAATGCTTTTTCAAGTAGCAATAACAGCCCACAGATGTGAAGCATCATATAGTTGCATCAGTACATGTAATCAAAGACCTCCCTTGCAGAAGTGATGCAGCTGCCACCATGAAGAGGCTGGGGAAAATGCAGCTGGAGCCTGGACTCAGTGCTAAGCATAAAACAATCTGAAGAGCTGCCATGTCTCCACTTTTCACCAGGAAAGGCCGAAACATAAAACTGGCAGAGGCAAAAGGGACACAAGCCATCTGGAGTCTGTAATGAACCTGTGAGTTGTGCAATGCCAGCCAAAGACACCAAGGGAGCCTGTGAAAGGTATAGGGATGTTCAGGCTCACCCAGAAAGCTCACAGTTGGACCCGAAAATTACTGAAGAGAATTTGTTAATCAAAGCCCCTCTAAGTGAAAAGATGTCTCATTCACTAAGAGGTACTCTCAGTCTTGTTATCAGCATTGATAGTGGCAAGAGAGACCAAGCTGTGAGAAACTGTGAAGAGACAGAACCTCCCCCACTATCAACCTTTGAACAGCATGAGAATGTGACAGATGAAGACTACATCAATGGCAGGGACGGATACTGCTGAGCATAGGAGAAGAGACAGAACCTGCGTTACCAGCTCTTAAATTAGCAGTAGAAAAGGAAGGTCTGTTATCTTTTGCCAGGACCATTCCTTGGCTCCACAGTGCTGACAGAAGTAGTTTATAGGTACTGATTTATAAATAAAACATTTAACTCCCACTTTCCCCCAGGACTTTGAAATATTCCTTCCTGCAGTCCCAATCTCCTCCATGGACAGTCAGGTTTTGGCAGCTGCAGGTAGGCTGCAATTCTGCCTTCCACCCAGGGAAAATCAAATTGTCTGGAGGTTGTTTTTTTTTTTTTTTTGAGTTATGATCTACAACAGCTAACATTATTTTATTATTTATTATTTTATGCTTTCTACTATTAAAAACATTTTGCTTGAGGATGGTTGTTGCCTTGCTTCTCAGGATGTTCTTCAATAAGAAAATATTTCAGAACTACAAGGTACTACCAAGGAAAGATAACATCAGCACGGTCGCTAGAGAGCACCGAAGGTCATTTACCACAGCTCCAGAAGAAAGCTGTGACACACCACAAATAGACATCCTATGTTCAGCCCTGCTGCTGTCTTTTGCACATATTCATAATAAAAGGCCTCAAAGATACATCAAAGAAATGCGATCTAAAGGTGTAAATGGGATGTCAAATGCACAGTTCATTAAAGGCAGTTTACTGTACCCGTGATATTGATATAAGGATGGTACTGTGGCAGCAGTAACTAAAACCAAAACCTGGCTTAACAGTGGTATCCTGAAACTGTTTACTCACTGTCTGCACATTTGACACTTTATACAAGTACCGCTGTAGATCATACTGAAAAATGTTGACAGCGTGCCACCATTAAAGCCACCACTTCCTTCAAATTACAGTGTGATTTCTCATTCTCTTTCCACATCAAGCAGATAGCCAGTTGTGGAATTGGCAGAGATTTTAGATCTGCTCTTTTCACGACAATGGTGAAGAGACTGGTGTGGTCAGACCGTACTGGGGAAGAGGACAGGCAGCAGCACTCGCATCTTCCTGCATCCTCTTTACGGCCTCGCTGGAATTAATGTCTGTGCAGTTCACATTCACTGATGGCAAGAGAGTTTTAGATAAATCTGTTGCTCCTGACATATCAAATCCAATATTTTATACCACAGAATTGGATGACAATTCAAACGCAGTTCTTGTCAACCTTCACTGTATTCCCGAATGACAAAAATCTTCAGGACAGAGCTTTCCAGTGCAGCCAGGGTTTAATGAAAGGACACTGTAACAATCGCAGGGTAGGCAATAATGCTTGTAGTTTTATAGATACCTGCTCAACTTAATAACATTAACCTTTGGTAAGAAAGTTAAAAAAGCCAAGCAAATTTAACATTAGGAAAGGTTAGAAAAATCAATACCACACAGCAGGAAAGAAAACAATAGATTGCATCCGATGACGATATAACTTCACTGAATGATAGGATGAGGCACACAGAATTAGGCTTTGGCTGTTCTGTCTTATTATAGCAGTTATAGGAGGCACATTGCTAAAGAAGGAGGAGTGTGCCAGACACACATAATAGGATTATTGAACCCTATATTTCAGACAGACACTGAAATCAGACAGGCACTGAAATGTCAATCTGAACATCTCAGCACTTCTCCCATTTTTTGAAATATTATGCATCACAGCATGTTGTGTGTTTGAAGAAAGCAGTGTGTAGATGTCCATTCCCCAATGTCCTTATTAATCTCTTATTAAAAGAAAGTGATGTTTGTTCTTTCTCTAATCTTTCTGAACATAAGAATATAATTAGGACAGAATACATAAGATATCCTAATTTGTACTCTACCTCCAAGACCCTTCTATGGCAAGCCATTTGAGCCTGTCTTTTGAAGCTTGTGTCTGGCTGTGCTCACTTAGTGCACCAGTGACATCCAGTTCAGTCCGCTAACAATTCCTGTTGCGCTGAGGCTCAATTTTGAGGTATCAATCTCAATACAGATGCACTTAGGTAGCGTTAAGGGCAGACACAGGAAAACCATATATCCTCAAGTTAAAAGAGAAGAAGGGAGACAGCTCATAGAGCCTCTCAAAACCACAGCACACACAAATAAAGTTTAAGGAAGCTATATAAATTAAATGGTGTTTCTAAACACTCTCCTTCCCCTAGACCTCACCTGCCCTCTCACCTGCTGAAACAGGAATGCACCCAGTCAATCCCAATATCTCACACACCAACTAAGTAAGAGCTGTAGATTTACAGAACTATTTCAGTTGGAAGGGACTTTTCAAGGTTATCTAGTCCAACCTCTTGCTCAAGAGTAGGTAAGATTAGCTCAGGCTGCTAAAGGCCCTTTCCAGTCTAGGCTGAGCGTTTCCCAGGATGGAGACTCTCACAATGGCTCTGGGAAGCCTCTTCCAGTGCTTGACCACTCTTGTGAAATTTTGTTTTACAGTATGAAACTAAGATGTCCTGTGTTGCACATTGTGATTGTTCCTTCTTTTCCTATCTCTGCTTACCCTAAAGAAGAGTCTGGTTCTTTCTTCTCTCTGCCCTCGCATCAGGAAGTTGAGGGCAGCAATACGATCTCCTGTTCACCTTCTCTTCTGGAAGCTGACCAAAGCAGTTTCCCTCAGCCTTTCTCCATGCATCATGTGCTCCAGACTTCCCTAACATATATTTCCCTTACTTGTGCTATATGGGTATGCGATATTTCCACCTCAGAGAGCCTGAAGGGGTCAATTAGCAGCAAGGAGGTAGAGGGTTCCTAGCTCTCTCGTTTTAATGTAAATTTATAGCCCTGGGGGATTTCAGTCATTTCACCCCTCTGGCATCCTCTTCCACTTTTGCCCATTTTTGAGGAAAACCTCAAAACTCCACATTCTTCACATAGTAGCTGCAGTCACCTGAATGTTTTGAACCCCCAAACATTTCCATACCCAAATATGCAGACAAGTATTTTCACTCGGAATTGGACTCAATTCACTTGATACTGAAAGAAAGCACGCATGGATCCAAGCAAAGCAAAGTGTTGCTCTAGACTAGGCATCAATGAACAGAAAGGGAGCAAAGGGTCTGACTGCAGGTCTTGGACCAGGCCTAGCCAAGAAGATAAATATGTGGATGCATAATCAAACAAGTTTAACAGACATTGCGTTCTACCACCTTGTCTATAATAGGAGGGTGGTGGTGTGAGACCAGAGGATTCAG